GACCTTTGCATTCATGCCACAGAATGAGCAAGATAAGGGGGCGTTTCACAAAACTTGTCATCAGTGACAAATGACGGTTTTTGTTATAAGCTAGTGAAATCCTTGCTTCTGATTGGTCATCAACAGATTTGCCACTGATTTTTGTCATTTGTCATTGAAAGAAGGCTTTGTGAAACGGGTCCCTGATCATGATTATGACAAGATCATGCTGACTAATTCTGCTTTGTTACTACATCAATAAATGTTACATGCATACATGTCACAAACTAGACTAGATTATATGAAAGAGAGGGTCATGATGAGTTGGATATATCCGTTCTGGGAAATGGTATGATTTCAAAATACTTAAGGGGGATATAAATAATAACAATTATAGCACAACATGTATAGTTCATATCTTTTTATGGTTTGAATGGAATTAGAGTACACAGAGTAGACAAACTGTTATTCTGTCACTCTATACACATAGATACCAACCAATCCTATTGTGAAGGAATGGATCCTATTTTTTGGTCTTCAAGCTATTGTTTTGAACCCTAGATTCCTCTCTTTTTCTGGAATATTCTGTGTGTAAAGTATACAAACTAGATTGTATTCCTAATTTTGCCTTGAGAGATGACTAATTTTTGCTGTGAAAGGTTGGCAGGTATGTATACATACTCCACAAAACAAAATCAAAGTTTACAACATTTTTCTTTCCCCGTCTAACTTAGTATTATGTTCATGACAGAAGACAGACTCTCAGGCTAACAACCTTGTAACAACATTTAATTGTTGTATTGGCCATACATGACATGTAGTTCAAGATATGGGAACAAACTTTCAAAGCATAATTTCAACACAAATCCCACATATAAGGATGCTCCATTTCCATTTGACTGAGCAGGAAGAAAATGAAGAATGTGATTAAAAACTAGATGGATCTTCGACTGCGTGCAGTCGAAAATGATGCCTCCGCCATATAGCATTTTAACACCCAAAGCGGCGAAGGAGCGTAGGCATAAAAAATAGACGATATATGAGTTAGGCTATATTTACATACATTTATTATATTATGAATAGATATTATATAATGTTCATGAACATCATGTAAACAAAATGAAATATTTTCTTCGTGACAACGATTACAGTTTGAAAAACATGTTCAATCTGAAAAGCAAGAATTTATTGGATACAACAGAAATAAGACTAAAACTTGTTTAGATCAAGTATACACTTTCTACACTCAATATTTGCAACAATCTTTCTTGATAATAGATGTATTGTTGGTTAAACAGGAAAAAGTCAATACAAATTATTTAACCCGTAGACAATGAAATAAATCCTGGTATACCGGAAAGCTCCTTTGAATTCTTACAGAATACATGTATCACCGTGATGAAGGATATATCAACAGAACCTTACGGATTAGATTCCTGATGACCTAGTTATGATTGTGCAATGCAATATATTATAATCATCATTACAGTATAGCCAATATGATAAAACTCAAACCAGTTGGAGTTGTTATTAAACAATCAACAGAGAGTTTGGATTTGTTAAAATTCACTTCAGTTCAGTTTGGTTCTTTTCATATTTCCTTTTCAGGTTAAGCCTCGGTCACAAATGACATTACGAACCGCAACAAACGCCGTACAAACAATTTTAAGACAATGGAAAAACCGTGACAGGGAGATTCGTATGAACTTTGAAGAATTGATACCATTTTCTAAATATTGTATATTCATAATCATTGATTCTTAAGGAGAAAATAGGAAATTTATATCATCAATATAAAGAAAATAATTAGTGGATAGTAAGGACATGACGTCACAGACTCATGAGTGAGTTGCCAATTTGTCTAGTGATTTTCAAAGTTTTTAATGTCATTAACAATTCAAAACTTTCTTATTAGTTATCCAATTTTGCTCAGACTTGTTTTGATTGGTTAGTCTGATTTTTCTGCTTCTATTGAAAGTAAGTTATTTTTGGAGTGGACTTGGGTTATAATGACTTCAGCTTGTTGGTTGTAGGTTTTGTATTGTATGCTGCAGGTTGTATTACATAGATTGATTTAAAGCCCCACTGCACTACTTATAGCTACTTGCGCCCTCTATAATTAGCAAACCATGCCTAATCGGTGCCCATTGGTCCTCCATGATGCCTTTTTCTTATGTTAATTGAGAGCTGATTTGATAAGATTACCACATGTCAATGATCTTTCAGGGGGGTCTAATCCATCCTGGCTAAACAAGTGCAGACGGGCTTTAACATAATAATCCATCTTCACCAGGAAGCCTCTTTGTTATTATATTGAATGGTGAGGGCTCACAGGGCGTCAAACCTTTGCTTACCTTGGAGCTCCATATGCTTCAACCATAATTATAAAGTTATTCATTAAAAGTATCAAGACATGGTATAATCAATAATTGCTTAAAGCCCCACTGCACTAGCTACTTGCGCCCTATATATAGCAAACAATGCCTAATTAGTGACCATTCGCCCCCCATGCATGGTCCCCTTTTTCTTACGTTAATTGAGAGCTAATATGATGAGGTAACCACCTGTCAGTGGCCATGCTGGGAGGTCTAATCCCTCCTGGCCAAACTAGTGCAGATAGGCTTTAAGATACTGTATTCCATACATTTTTAATCTAATGATATCTTCAATTAGTATACTAGTAATTAGTTACTTGGGTAGCCTGGTTAGATCCACATTCAAAAGGTTTCATTTTCAAGGCCGTAGTAGTCTGCTGCCATCACGCGGTCTGATGAGGGTCACCTTCATGTGTTAAAAATGTTCAAGCTACGTTGTTGCTTGATGGCGAAACCACATATTTCTTGACCATTATGTTCCATTCATCATCGTGGCCTCAGATATCCCTAAGAATACAAAGATCATTTCTACATATAAAACTAGGTGTAAATGAAAAGAATATAAAAAGTACCATTCAAAGAAACAATGGATGATTTACAGTAGGCTTGCGGGTGCACCATGTGAGAGAGAGGGAGGATTTGCTGTTAAATTTGGCAATCGTAATTTCTATGATATTATGAATTTATTTCATAAATTAAAGGTGATACAAAATTTTGGGAAATTTTGAAAATTAGGTGGAGAGTGATTCTTTACAATTTTGATATATTTGGATGCCCCTGTGGATGTATTATAAGCACTAGAAAATTTAGCCCCTAAAACACTTCTGCTTTCGAGAAAAATGGAATATAAAAATTTACCGGTGCTCCCGGTAAATGTTGATGAATTTCAAAAAGCGCCTATGGCCGTACTATGGTAGCTGCGACCATGAAAATCTCAGAAAATGTAGTTGTGATATATAATTTCCAAACGGGAATAGCTGATCGGTCGATTTTAGCCAAGAAACATTGTTGTATAGCTTAATTAATATCTTGACCTTGAGAGGGAGCTATACAACATAAAGAGTTTATTATTTACAATTTCATAACTTTAGGCTCGATTTCAATCGCGACAACGATCACGGAATATTGTAGGATCGCATATGCTTCCAATAATCATTTGAACCAAATTCATGACCCTATATACAAAACTTTGTATTACCTTTAAGTGTCTGGAGATTGTTAATTTTGTTTGTCAGATATCATACATTTGTGTTAACGAATAGATCATTTACAATTATTTGTATAGAGATGTTTTTTTTTAAATTTCATTTAACCTTCAGTCAGTAACTAAAAGGCAAGGCCTAAAAAATGGTTGTATTGCCCTTTGCGACCAACCCAAAAATCTACTGTCGACTTTTTATTTATTTTTTTATTTTTTTAGAAAAAAAATGTTTAATGAATAGTACTTTGTTTGTTTAAATGGGATATAAATGCATAAAAACATCATCAAATTATTCTCAGATTTTCACTCGTTTTCTGCCCTACTTTCGAAATCCTGCTAGCATAAACAAGTAGACCCGGCCTCGTGTATGTGTACATACCACGCAGTGAGTTCAGAACATTTATGTATTTGAATTGTTTCTTGTCAGATTTGACTAATTTCAGACTCAAACTAGATGGAATTCGACTGCGCGCAGTCGAAAATGATGCCTCCGTCATAGAGCAATTTTACAAACCGAAACGGAAGAAATTTTTCAAATTCAAGTTCAATTGTAATCCATTAACATGTTCTCAGAATATCGTGATTACAAGCAATTTCTCATATACATATATGACCCTTTGATCTTTGACCTCATGACCCTAAAATCTACTCAGTTCATTGGCTCTGCAAGATTTCCTGAGTTAAATAGTAATCCATCTGTCAGTTTTAATGAGAATGCGTCCACAAGCCATTTTTGCATACATAATGAGCCCATGACCTTTGATCTTATGAACCATTCATTGGCTCTGCAAGATACATAAATGATCTAAGTTTGGCAGGAATCCATCAATCTGTTCTAATGATAATACGATCACAAGCTATTTTTGCATACATAATGAGCCGCATGACCTTGACCTTTACCTCATGACCCCAAAATCTAATCAGTTCATCAGCTCTGCAAGTAACATACATGACCTAAGTTTGGCAGGAATCCATCAATCGGTTCTTGAGATAAGGCGATCACGAGCTGTTTTTGCATACACAATGTGCGCTGTGACCTTTGACCTCGTGACCCCAAAATCTAATCAGTTCATTGGCTTTGCAAGATACATACATGACCAAAGTTTGGCAGGAATCCATCAATCGGTTCTTCAGATAACGCGATCACAAGCTGTTTTTGCATACATAATGAGCCCTGTGACCTTTGACCTTTGACCTCGTGACCCCAAAATCTAATCAGTTCATCAGCTCTGCAAGATACATACATGACCAAAGTTTGGCAGGAATCCATCAATCGGTTGTTCAGATAACGCGATCACAAGCTGTTTTTGCATACATAATGAGCCCTGTGACCTTTGACCTTTCTAATCAGATCGTCTTCCTATGGTGATAAATACTATTCCCGAGTCTTAAGTTTAAATCTTAAATGGTTCTTGAGATATTGTGATAACGGTCAAACGGGACGGACGTACGGACGGACGGACGTACGGACGGACAACCCGAAAACATGATGCCTCCGGCACCACCTTCGGTGGCGGAGGCATAAAAACGTACACAGGGAACCCCCAGAACTGAAACAGGAATGAAGAGCATATGAAGTGGGCCAGTTTAAAGACAACCATTTGTAATAGGCTATGATTTGAACCTCTTGCTGTCTTTTCATGGTCACTTTCGGTCCATTAAAAAAACAAAAACAAGTTTGACCGATCGACAGACCGACCCAGGTGCTGCCATCTAAAGGGCAATACTGGTACTACATTTTTTGTTAGGCCTAATGGATTCAATCATACATGTATATTCAAATTGGAGAGAAATTGATAATGATCAAATGCTAGGATATCTAGTAAAACCAAAATTACATTTCAATTGATTACATAGGCCCTAATAATTCTAGAGTATTTGTAGACATTAGTGAGGTATTTTTCCCCGAAAGCTTTACATTTCAGGCAGGGAAGATTTTATATTATGATATCACTATCTTCACCAAGGTAGCAGGCAGAGGAAGAGGAGACACAGACGGGCCTACACTCCGTACCTATCACCCATCTTAATGACATCATTGCTTCATGAAAATTTTATTTGTTGTTGTTTTTAATTACAGATGTGAGAATATACAGGAAGTTTGATTATAAAAAAAATGCAGGCCACAAACAACATTATTCATCTTTAACATGTTCAGAAAAAAAATTAGAACTCATGGATATTGCATTATTGTAAAAAGCATGTTTTTATCTATCTACCTTTTGTCACCTTGCTGAGTGGAGTTTAGTTTTGCTAAGATGCATGCTACATGATAATTTGAAACATTTCTTCAATTAGACCTATATAGATAAGGGAAAATTTCCATCTTTTCTTCAGATATTAAGGTCATATCGCTTTTTTTTTAAAAGAGGACAAAGTACAATGAGCGTTTTTGCCTACATCATGCACGTGAAGGAAAAGTACTTTTTCCCTACAAATGTTCATATCTAATTGTTTTTATTCATATTTCCATTCTCCATAAAAACATTTAACATATAACATGATATACATGATATACATGATATACAGATAAAAGATTGATTACAAGAAAAATACAAGGGAAAGGAGCAAACAAAATCTTAAGGGAATGTGGGGTTAACAAAAAGGGCAATTGGCCTTATGAACGTCAACCCCTTAAAAAGTATATACTGTATTGTTGAGAAAAGAAAAAAGGAAAAGAAATGCAGAGAAAACCTGGACCCCAATACAAAAGGAAAAAAGGGGAAGGGGAGGGGGATTATTTAAGTGCGTTACGTCATTTAATTTCAGATTGAATACAATGATAAAAGATTGGATGTATACAATCGTTTAAAAGTATTAATTGAATTAGAGTTTTTCATATTAAACAGGACATTTTTCAATAAAACTGGCCTTTTGAAGAAAAAAAAGTGTATTTAACAAAAAACATTTGTACAGAATTTTGGAAAATATAGTTGTGAAGAGTTTTTTCTCTATGTTTGTTATATTTCAGTTTTTGGATATCATTACACAGATCAAGAACAAACCTATTGCTAGACGTGATCATTTTTAATCAGGCCAGAATGCCAGAATACTTGTGTACCGATTGGGCGGAGTTAAATATGGATAATTAAAAAATAGCCTACTTTGAATCGATGGAATGCCAGAAAATGGGAGAAGAATCAATCGGAGGATGACCATGTAATCTAGTGTTCTTTCTTACCCCATCACCATGCTTCACGGTGACAGTCACCTTGCCTTCACTGTTCACCTCAGAAATCAGTGGATCCAGATCCGCGTTGGTATCACACAGATTCAACCTATAGTAATAAAACAGTACATTTCAGGCGCTCAATACATGATCTTTTGAACAAACCTGATGTACGATACTCTCTTAAAAAGCCATCAGAGATGTATGCTATGTGGTGTGAGAAAAGATGACAGTTACACATCCAATTCCTTGCATAATATTGCTCTGAATTTATATTGCATGACCGCAAAAAACCATGGTATAACAAATTTGTATGTAGGATACATCATGATGAATAAGATAAAGTATTGATTTACATTTATAATAAGAAAATCATATATAGATATGAATATATCCTGAAATGAAGAGATCATCAGATCATGTAAACCATTGTAAAATCCCCTATACAGCACCCCATCATCTATTCTTTTAGACAACACACTCATGTATGCACTTTCTTAACCATCTGAGAGTCATTTCAAAACCTTAATGCAGCTACCCCTGACCCCGCATGAAATCAAATTCAGTGACAATGACGATAGGTTGTGTGTTGGGCAGAGTGTTTTGCCAATTCAATTTCCTTTTGATATCAAGAACCAACTGTGTTAAATCAACGCTAGATTTCCTCTTATGAGATCAAACATAATCAGGTTTACCATTTTTATCATTACCATGAAAGCATACGGCATAAGTTATATGCTTAATACAGGTTTGTATCGTTCAGTAAAAAAAACTTCAAATCATCTCTTTTACAAATAGTCGTTGTATGATAGCTAAAGAGGCGATGATAAAGAGAGTGAAAGAGAGAAAATGCTGGAAAGAGAGTGGGAGAAAGGAATCAAAAGAGAACTTAGAAAAGAGAAAGAATAATAACTAGACGAATAATACTTGTTTGGAACAAGTATAGGTGGGCTGGTCAACTACAATTTGAGACAAAATAGAGCAAAAATAAGCGACATACTGCTTACAAATTCTTAAAAAACAATATCATGTAGATTCATAACGTGAACTAAATTCAACTTCTATAGGCATAACACGCAAATTATGAAGTTTTTTACATGAGGCCTTTAATCAAAATTTTCACTATGATGACGTCATCAAAATGAAAAGAGGTTATTACTGCGCTTGTAGAGAATTGTCTTAGCTACAACACATCGAAATTTTGAAGAAAATTGATCAATATTTATAGAGATATAATAAATTTTACATAAATATGCTGACGTCATAATATGCAAATTCGTATTTTGAGTTCCAAGGCCATTGTGATGATGTCACGATACACTTAATGGCCAAATGAGACATGGAATCATATTTCCGACTCATACTCTATCTAAATATGAAAAAAAATTGAGGATCCCGGTGCATTCCAAAGGGCTATAACGGATTTTGTATAGGCATGTTTTTGCCCATATATGCTATGTATTAAAAGAGCTCGCGTGCACTGACATTTATCTTGAATTTACGCTCATCTTGTTAATAATGGTCATAAAGAGATACACATGGTATCAAAATCCTTGAAAAAATATGAGAATTATCATGAAAGAAAAAAAAATGGCGATTCTATGTTTTGTAATGGTGTTACGCGCGAAAACGCGCGCGCATGCTCATACGCGCAATTTTTTATAAAATGCTTAAAATGACCTGAAACGTATGCAAAATAAATTTGAGACGATTTTGAGCATTGAAAAATTTTGCGCGCGCACTGACGCGCGGACGTACGCGCACGCGCGCGTTTTTTTACCTGAAATTGACTGGACTGATATTGACCTTGATCACAATAAATATGAATGAGAAATACCTTTTGGTTATGAAGATATGATCATGAGTTTATTTTCAGAAAATTTCACAAAATGGCGCCTAGATGACGTCATCAATCAAGGTCAAGGTTGAAAACCTTACTGTGTTTTGTCCATATGCCTATACATATGTGTGCCAAATTTCAAGTGATTTGACTTAGACAATTTCAAGTTATCTTGCTAACAAAAAAGTGGCGAGAATTAAGAAAAATAAATAAATAACTAGACATATAATACTTGTTTGGAACAAGTATAGGTGGGCTGGTCAACTAAAATTTGAGACAAAATAGAGCAAAAATAAGCGACATACTGCTTACAAATTCTTAAAAAACAATATCATGTAGATTCATAACGTGAACTAAATTCACCTTCTATAGGCATAACACGCAAATTATGAAGTTTTTGACATGAGGCCTTTAATCAAAATTTTCACTATGATGGCGTCATCAAAATGAAAAATGGTTATTACTGTGCTTGTAGAGAATTGTCTTAGCTACAACATATCGAAATTTTGAAGAAAAATGATCAATATTTACAGAGATACAATCAATTTTACATAAATATGCTGACGTCATAATATGCAAATTCGTATTTTGAGTTCCAAGGCCATTGTGATGATGTCACGATACACTTAATGGCCAAATGAGACATGAAATCATATTTCCGACTCATACTCTATCTAAATATGAAAAAAAATTGAGGATCCCGGTGCATTCCAAAGAGCTATAACGGATTTTGTATAGGCATGTTTTTGCCCATATATGCTATGTATTAAAAGAGCTCGCGCGCACTGACATTTATCTTGAATTTACGCTCATCTTGTTCATGATGGTCATAAAGAGATAAACATGGTATCAAATTCCTTGAAAAAATATGAGAAATATCATGAAAGAAAAAAAAATGGCGATTCTATGTTTTGTAATGGTGTTACGCGCGAAAACGCGCGCGCATGCTCGAACGCGCGATTTTTTATAAAATGCTTAAAATGACCTGAAACGTATGCAAAATAAATTTGAGACGATTTTGAGCATTTAAACATTTTGCGCGCGCACTGACGCGCGGACGTACGCGCACGCGCGCGTTTTTTGACCTGAAATTGACCGGACGGATATTGACCTTGATCATGATAAATATGAATGAGAAATTACTTTTGGTTATGAAGATATGAACAAGAGTTGATTTTCAGAAAATTTCACAAAATGGCGCCTAGATGACGTCATCAGTCAAGGTCAAGGTTGAAAACATTACTTTGTTTTGTTCATATGCCTATACATACATGTATGTGTGCCAAATTTCAAGGCATTTGATTGAGCCATTTTCAAGTTATCTTGTTAACAAAAAAGTGGGTAGAATTAAGAAAAATAAATAATAAAGAATAAATAAAGGCGATTTTAACAAAAATATAAGGTGGTCTGTATTAGATACAGCCCACCTGATAAAGGCAATTTTAACAAAAATATAAGGTGGTCTGTATTATATACAGCCCACCTGACTAGACATATAATACTTGTTTGGAACAAGTATCGGTGGGCTGGTCAACTAAAACTTGAGACAAAATAGAGCAAAAATAAGCGACATAATACTTACAAATTCTAAAAAACAATATCATGTAGATTCATAACGTGAACTAAATTCACCTTCTGTAGGCATAACACGCAAATTATGAAGTTTTTGACATGAGGCCTTTAATCAAAATTTTTACTATGATGACGTCATCAAAATGAAAAATGGTTATTACTGCGCTTGTAGAGAATTGTCTTAGCTACAACATATCGAAATTTTAAAGAAAATTGATTAATATTTACAGAGATAAAATCAATTTTACATAAATATGCTGACGTCATAATATGCAAATTCGTATTTTGAGTTCCAAGGCCATTGTGATGATGTCACGATACACTTAATGGCCAAATGAGACATGGAATCATATTTCCGACTCATACTCTATCTAAATATGAAAAAAAATTGAGGATCCCGGTGCATTCCAAAGAGCTATAACGGATTTTGTATAGGCATGTTTTTGCCCATATATGCTATGTATTAAAGGAGCTAACGCGCACTGACATTTATCTTGAATTTACGCTCATCTTGTTCATAATGGTCATAAAGAGATAAACATGGTATCAAATTCCTTGAAAAAATATAAGAAATATCATTAAAGAAAAAAAAATGGCGATTCTATGTTTTGTAATGTTGTTACGCGCGAAAACGCGCGCGCATGCTCGTACGCGCGATTTTTTATAAAATGCTTAAAATGACCTGAAACGTATGCAAAAACAATTTGAGACGATTTTGAGCATTTAAAAATTTTGCGCGCGCACTGACGCGCGGACGTACGCGCACGCGCGCGTTTTTTTACCTGAGATTAACCGGACTGATATTAACCTTAATCATGATAAATATGAATGAAAAATACCTTTTGGTTATGAAGATATGATCATGAGATGATTTTCAGAAAATTTCACAAAATGGCGCCTAGATGACGTCATCAGTCAAGGTCAAGGTTGAAAACCTTACCGTGTCTTGTCCATATGCTTATACATATGTGTGTCAAATATCAAAGCATTTGATTGAACCATTTCAAAGTTATCTTGCTAACAAAAAAGTGGCTATAATTAAGAAAAATAAATAAATAATAAATAAATAAATAAAGGCAATTTTAACAAAAATATAAGGTGGTCTGTATTAGATACAGCCCACCTGATTAAATGAGAGGGACATAGAGAGAGGGAAGGGGGGGGGGGGGGATGGGCGAGAGAGAGATAGAGATAGAGGTAGCAACTGAAGCGAGGAAACTCACAGTCAAAGGTTAACCGAAATGCGTTCCACAATAAATACGAGTAAGATTTTGATTATATGTAGCAATCATTACCCTGGTAAATCAAATGAGACTCACTTTATGCTTGTCAGGTGTGAATGAATCTTCATGAGTTGGATGATCTCGGCTGCCTTCTCGTTGTTTAGTGGAATGTAAAAAAAGGACAGCTTGGTGAGTAGAGGACATGATGTTTTAACCGCATCACAAAATGACACAGGATCATTCAGTGTAGTAGATGATTGATACACGTCTCCCTCGATTTGAAGGTGAGTTAGATGATGGAATGGAGAGCAGGCCATTGTGATGATTCCTGATGAGACATTCTCCTCGTCCCGGTAGGTCAGTTCGAGTTTTTTCACTTGGGGACATGATGTATGAAGTCCAAGATTCCACAGGCTGATCACATCCTTACCTTCTACAGAAAGCTCAACTACTGAGGATGTTTGACGAGTCTACAAGAAAGAGCGATGCAAAAAGGCTCACTATATATGATATGAATGGAAACCAATGCTGATGTAAGAAATGATATTGAAGTGTATTGCCCTCCATTTAAATAGAGGTTTGTTTATCATGAGACTTTTTTTCAGTATTTTGGATACAAAATATAAAAAGAGGATTTCTCTCTGTATGGCATAACACATCATGATCGCATTGACAATATGAGTTTTTGTATATCATTACCATTATCGACATCCAAAATTTCTTAATGTTTTTATTCTTTTTCCGCTTTTTCTGAAACCTTCGTTAATTTTTTTCTTTATTTTGTCTGTTTCCACCAACATTATTATTCGAGGGTTAATCCTTCCATTTCGGTGGAAGATGACGGGATTTTAGTATTTATTATCATCTTTTTTTATTGTGATATTAGTTCAGTGTTTATAAGGTCACCTAGACTAACGAAAAAAATCAATCAAATGACTTCACTTTACTGAATTTGATAATGAAGAAAATAAGCAACATGATTCTCCATGGGAAATAACAAATGGCAATCATTTATCAATTGATATTTAACAAGCTTTAAAAGTATGTGCAGTGTTAAACTTCATCCCAAGATGAAAAAAACTACAACAGTGCACGTATATATATTTGATAAATAACACCATCCATCGATTTACTAAACAGCCCATAGTATGTCGTTTTAACTTGATTTCAAAACAAAATACATTATCCTTTTGGCAATTCTTTCATCATTCATATTTAGTCTCTTCGGGTTTTTTTCTGAACGCCTTCATTTTGAGCTTGGAGCAAAAAGAGAATTTTGAATTCAATCTTGGAACAGTACAGATACAAACCAGTGTCTCTCCATCGTCTATGTCAACTCGTTCGATATCCGTCAAGGTGAGTGACTGGAGGTGTGGTAGCGAGAGAATGGAGTGTAGTCTCCGTGGAGTCATCATGGAAACATCCGTCATACTCAGCGTCTGGATCTGTGCCAAGATAATTTATCAGTTCACACCAAAGTGAAATCCACGATGGAATCCAATTATTGTCTTTACTAACATAAACACCTTTTTAAAACACAGCTAATATCAGATGAATCTGCATCTCAGTAACTTTATCATTTACTAAGTCTGATTATCTTCTCAATTTCTGATATAGGTCTAGTTCAACTTCAAATGAAACAACGTACCGGTATTATAATAAACCAAAAAATATTTCAATATGCATATGGCATGATGTATTTTAAAAGAGGTTCTTAAGCTATTGTATCGGTGGGAAGATATTACATCAAAATGGTAGTATTTTAATAATTCTTCTAAATTCACTAGATACCAAAGGACACTTGCATGAATACACATTGCTTTAGATATATATGTGATACATCTGTCACTGGACAGGCAAGCGAATTGACATTGTGCCATATTATTGATATCAGGTATACCGGTATTTTACAAGAAAATTGTAAGAACAGTCTTAGGCAATAGTTGCTACCTTATATTTGGTCATGTGGAATACGGTTAAAATCATTAAAAGTGGGATGAAATCCAAATATAAGTTGATTCCTGTTGATGTGCAGGGCTGCATACAACTCATTTTGTGTTCTTCAAATAATTTTCTCAGACCTAGCTGCTAAGCTCCACCCTAAAAAAATGCTCCAGATCTCATTCATATTGTAACATCATCTTTCGATCATTAGTGAGCTAACAAGAGACATTCAGTGGTATGTAGCTTCACCAGAGCTGACCACCTGTTTACAATAGACCATACAATACCAACATAGGAGTCGCTATCTTAGACGTGCTGTAGCATCACCAGGAAAAGAAAGGTAATGTGGAGGCATTGTATGCAAGAATGCAATTCCTTTGTGAGCATGTGCTGAGCTGGGGAAATTACACACTGTCTCTTGTTAGCTCACTAATGATTGACAGATGATGTCACAAGATGAATGAATTTGTTGTTGTTTCTGAATTGGGTATGTTTTTTATTTTATTTTTAATTTTTTTTTTACAAACAGGTATAAACCAGGGAAACATAGATAGAAAAAAGGGCAAATTATGTTAGGAGGGAAATTTTCCTATCGTGGGAGGGGCATTTGTTCACTTCGAAGGAGGCACTTCCTGTCGGAGGAAGGGCACATGTCTCGATTTCGCAAATTGTGGGATGATGTATCAAAACCTGACCCTGGTCACGCCGCCCTGTCGAAATGATACGCATTTCTATATTCACATATCTTTTAAAAGACGTGTTTGTCTTTACATTATACCCAATTTCACTTTGACCATTGTTATCTAAAGTGAATTGAAGAATATAGCTATCATCACAAGAAAATAATGTGTAGTTCCAAAGAAAAATTCTAGTGAGAATCGATTGAATTTATCATAATCATGACACTGCAGTCAATTCTATTCAAATGATTCACTTTCATGATTGACAACATGGTCAGACTATTGTTATATAATGAGCGTGATTTTGACTATTCACCAAACATTATTTGTGAAATAATATTATCTTTAGTTTGGAGAAAGCAATATATAAAATTATGAAGAAAATCGTTTCCAATAGAAGGGAGAGAGAAGGAGAGAGAGAGAGAGAGAGAAAACCAAGAGACAATGCTGTGGTATGAGCAAAAAAAAGACAAACAAATGTCTTAAATAGTTGAAAAAGAGACCATGACTTGCCAAGCAAAATAGAATGTTATATCGGACTATTATATATTGTGCATGTAATATCTTATTGGGACAATGAATAATCCACACACAAAAAGCGGAATACTAGGCTAGCTACCTACAGGATATGCGCTTAAAACATGCAATTATATCCGTCTATTTACAATGCACATGTAAAACCAATTTCTTGCGACTGTTGACAAATTTAAATAATTTATAAAAATATAATGGGAAGCACTATTTGTAGGATAATAAGCATTTATATGAATTTCAAGTTATATTATTATGCCATCAAAATCCAGTCTATTCACATGACTCATGTTTCTTATCATTATTGTAAGTAGGTATTGTAATTGGGCATTATATTGATATGAGGATGATGACAATAAAATGATTTCTATTTCTTTTTTAAATGTGAAAAGCATTTACCCACATAATATGTTCAGTTTGAAGATTGCAAAACTATTAGGGGAAAAATTCGGGTATACCTTTGAATTTGATGCCTCAGAGGCCATCGTTGAGTAGAACTCATCATCACTCAGCTTTAAACTGATCAGACTTAGTGATCGAAGATGAGGCATGAAGCTGAGACATCTCGCGTAATGATAGGATGCAGCAGGACCCAGTTCTCCCAACCCATGCCTTAGCTGCTTAATCTGGTGATGTGACAGGACAGGTTGAATAGAGTGAATAGTATTATCAACAAAAGACGACTTGACTAATTTAAATATTTGTCATTGTCATTAATGTAACATCATTAACCTCTACTTAGACTTTTAAAGCAAGGGAAAGAGAAAAGGAGAGAGAGAGACAGAGAGAGAGAGAGACAGAGACAGAGACAGACAGAGACAGAGAAATAGAGAGAGAGATGAGGGGCTAAATCAAGTATAGACGACATGTCTAATTTTAATATTTTTCATTGTCATTAATGTAACATCATTATACCCTTCACTTTATGGGCTTTAAACCCTTACTGTACTCTCGACATTTTCGGAGATTGCGCCGCAACCGCTTGGAATTCTGAATTGTCGTTTCATGACTTTTTTCCCTCAAGTCTTACGCACATTTTGATACCATTTTCGTCGAAATCGGATATACCTGTAAGGTGTTACATAACAGTTAGTATGCGCAAGTCATCAAAAAAAGTGCTATAACTGCATATATTCAAATTGCTTTTATATGTTTCTCAAAGTAACTTGATGTATTCCAGAAAAAAAGAATACATTAGATATAAAACAATAGATTAATAAGAAATAAAAAACAATAAAATACATAAGAAAATAAATAGTTGAAAATCGCATCAAATTTGCATGAATTATCATTATTAATTACATAAAAATAACTATTTTGTGTTAGAAAAGAAGTTTCATATGAATGAGTTTCAACATTAAAAAAGCGAAGTCTGACAATTTTAGTTATGATTCTAGTCCCTATATATATTTCCAGATTTGATATTCATGAATGCGTAATTTGCGTATCCATAATTTATGCAAATTAACATATGCATTTTCAAATATCATAAAAATAATGAAACCTCATGAATTTGAGATGAAGGAAACATTTATTCAATACATTTTCAAGATTCTTCACAAGTCTACGGACAAATATGTATGAGTTTTCTGTAAAATGCATAAAATTAGCATTTTGCATAATTAATTAGGCTATAAAGACAAAAATTTGTATATTAGGAAAAAACTAATTATACCATCTTGTTCCTTACGTAAATATCTACAAACATGCAAATGTTCGTGTTCATCGGACATTCGACGGCAGAGATCATGGGGGGGGGACCTCCCAGCCCCCCCCCCCCCCCCCCCCCCCCCCCAGTCAGGGAGGTGCTCAAAATAGCCCAGTACAGTAAGGGATAAAGCAAGAGAAAGAGAAAGAGAGAGAGAGAGAAGACAGATAGAAACAGAGAGAGATTGATCGAGAGAAAAGGCCAAAAGTGAAAGGGGTGTGGTAAGAGAAAAGAAACACGAGATGAAGAAAGTGTCTGTTCAAGCAAAATAAAGATGTTATTTCTTTATATCGACGGTGTACATGTAATATCTCCTTGAGACTATTGACAAACTATAAATAATTTCCTAAACCACACATTAATATGAATAATACTTTGTCACGATAAAGTCTATTCACATGATTCATTTTTCTTGTCAGCATGCTTCTGACTCATGACAATAAATTATTTCAAAAAACATGCGATATGTATAGGATAAGTGCTTTTCAACACACCTATAGATCCGAGAGGTAGTACGTTAGCTCCTCAGTCAGGTGATGTGACAGGAAAGGTTGAATAAAGTGAATAAAGTAGTCATATCAACATGTTTAAATGAAGTTCGGTACTCTAACATCATGATGATATGTCATCAATATATATATATATATATATATAAACTTTGACTATGATGGGCTTTTTTCAAAGCTAAATTGAAAGAGACAAACAGAATGAGTAAACCAAATATTTTGTAGAAGAATGACATTGTGTACAGGGAAAAGAGAGTAAAATGGATCATATATAATCTAATTATTTTCCTTCAATCAAAGTTTACTTATTGAATGCTTTTTGAATTTTTCTTTCACCTTTTTCAAATAGAAAGATAAAAAAGTATGTTCTTCCATTCCAGTATAACAACTCAATAATATTAATTAAATCTAGAATATGATTTAAAGATAAAGACCAGCTATGGTCATGCGATTGCATTGTGAAAGAAACGTTGTGGAATCGATCAGAAAAGGTTGATCATCTAGCATATAAGTATTGGTGTGTACTGCAAGGTTCTGGAATCATCAAAATGATAAGAAATTTGGCCCAGTCTCTCTGTGTCAATACGCTTTCTCGCATAATAATTTGACTTGCTGCATAGATTTCATAGATGTAACCCCCCCCCCCCCCCCCCCCCCCCCCCCCCTGCTTTCCAACAGATTGACACCGAATCCCTTTCTGGCTCAGCTCTCTCAAAATGTTTGGCTCATTACGCTAATGAGCGTGTGTGTTTGAGTATCAACTAGAATTGTGGTAGGAGAAGTGTAGGGGCGCACTGTGGGCAAGGGCAGGTGTTAAGGAACATTTGTTCCCATCTAATCCTACGTTCTATAGTGCGTGGAGTAGTGATTACAGCCAATATAGACTTATATCCCTAATTGAAAATCGTCAACAAATTTTAACCTAAACAAACAAAAAATATGAAGAAGAGGAAGAAGATGAAAAAAATATAGTGAAATTTTTTTCTTCATAGATTGCCGGGTGGCAACGACTTTGACTGGGGGTCACATTTTTCACTGAAGCACCGCCAAATTGTGACAAATTAAGAGAAAATTGACAAAGGAAGATACATATTTGTGATATGTAAAAGGGAAAAGGAAGAGGAGACCCTTTTACAAGCCTTTCATGATGCTTAGATTTCCAACCTTTGTGAAAAGCAGTAAACAAATTTATGAGTTTTAATAACCAAATTTTGTTCATGATTGTATTTTATTTTATTAGGCAACAGATATGACTATGCATCGATTAAGAAATAATGGTAATTATGATTTAGGATTCATCAATGTAATACAATAAACAGGCCCCTGATACCTTGGAATGTGAAGCTGCAGCAGACATTCCTGTGAAGAATTCATCATCCAGGCCCATGCTTAAGATCAAGCTTTGTAGGTTCTGCAATGTGAAAAGACCTACTGCTGCTACATGTGACGATGATGCGTTGGTATCAAAGGACTTGCTAACACCCAATGTTTCACGAACCGAAGAACTTCTTCTTACCTGTACAACAAATAGAACAAATAGAATTTTGGCATTCGATCTGTAAATTTGATTTCAGATATAACTTTGGTTTAAACTTCAAAGTAGTTTTGCGTGTGTCCATTTTAAGTATATAGTTAGAGAAAATAGACCATGGTGTATAATATTTTCACCCCAGAAAGATGGTGTGGATGAGTGTAAATGAAATATACCAAGACCAAGAATAGAATGAATCAAATGTTTGTAAACTATCAATTTAATCAAATTAGAGTTATATACTATCATAATGTAAATGTAAGAAGTACATGAACAAAGGATAATGATTATAAAGGCATATTAAAAAATAACATGAACTACATCACATATTTAGTTTCTTTTGTTGGGTGAACGATTTCCCGTGAAGGATGTGAGTGGGTTTGTGTCGATCCATGTGTGTGCGTTTCATTGCTCTAAAATTGACATGAAATATTGTTTGACTTCCTTCTTTTTTTAAAGTCAAGTTTTACCCTTATATGAGGAAGAGGTAAATGAATGATACAACTCTCGTATTTGTATGAGACTACACCTTGCAGCCTGCTCTAATACCCAATAACAACAGGAGAACATGGCAGGCTCTAAATGATTATCGGTCAGTAGAACAGAAAAACAGACAATATATTGTGTAGGTCTCTTGTATTTGTATTTTCTTTGTAGCGAAATGTGCATATGTAATCACTGGAGGCTCAACAGATGATAGTATCAACGAATGACATAATGACATAAACGAAAATGAGATACATCTATGATTCTATTCACAGAACTTACTACTTCTTTCCCTATTGACTCCAGTGTGAAGATGAGTGCAGGAATTGTATGATCTGTAAACGAAAGATCTGCCTTCGTCTTCAAAAGATTCCTGACGGAATCAATGGCTTCTGAATCATGACATTCAAAAGCAACCTTAATAATGAATGCCATGTCAGCAACTTTCATGCATAGAGCTTCCAGGACCGACTTTCCTACTTCACCTCCATGAGCTGCAGTGAAGTACAAGACATATTTGAATTCCTTGTAGTCTTCTAAAAGAGTGTCTGCCAGGATTCTGTTGAATTCTCGACGGTCTTTGTGGAACAGCGATGCAAGGTAGGAACTCGCTATGTACTCCTGCAGTAACTTATGAGGGAAAGAGAATTCCTGGATGAATTGCTTTCGCTGACTTTCTCTGATTTGCAAGGGTGCTGGCCTTTTTTCCCTGCTAAGAATCCCGACCTCGCATGCAGTCCTTGCAGCCTCTATGCATGAGTCGAGCGCCTTTTCATCAAAGATGAGCTGTTTAACCAACAGACCTTGAAATGCGATACAACCAAGCTCTTTCATGCTTTCATCAGCTTTGTTCATGCGGCTTCCATAGTCCTCTTCTGACTCATTTCGTTTGGAAGAGTATTGCTCTTGAAGTGAAAAGACAAGACGTTTCAAGAGTTGCGAGAATGTTTCCATTGTCTGAATATTTTCCCGCCCAGATGGCGTTTTCCACAGGCAACATAGCATACAGCAGAATATCGGGAAGGGTGCCATGTACTCAGAAACCACTTTGTTTGTATTAATGAAGTTAATGAGGGTCGAAGCAGACTGAGAATCATCTTTGAAATAGTTTTTGATATATGTTGACATGTTTTTCTTTGTGAAGCCCTTAACCTTACCAAACGTGTAGTGGTCATTAATCGTCATGATGCTCTTGATCTGATCAGCTCCATTAGGACGGGTTGTGATGACAACTGGGGTATCAATGAATCGTTCTCCTCTTACGATCGATACAATAGCGTCATTGCAGTTTGGCATTTTGATGTCGATATGTGCCTCGTCTAGTCCGTCCAATAAGATTAGGGCTTTTCTCGGATTTTTTCTCACATATGCATCGACCCGTTCCCCTTTTATTTCTGAGTCATCTGGGAAATGCGCCATGACAGTATCCCCGAAGAATCCGCTCTCTTTAATCTCTCGAAATGATTCAAGAAAAAGCAGCCGGATTTCTTGAAGAATTTTACCCTCAGCCCAATCAAGAGCTATCTTAGCAAACAGCGTCGATTTCCCTACACCAGCTTCTCCAATGAAAGCTAATCGTGTTACAAAACCTTTCGGTGTGTCAGTTTTTATGAATTTAAACAACCCGTCATAATCTATTGGCTCCTCCTTTTCCCCTTCTAATCCCAACATCAGGACGAGACTGACATAGATGTGCTGAAGCCATGTCCGTGACTGAGAGTCCACAGGTGATGTTTTGATCTGACCAAATTTCTTGCGATATCTTGTTTTCAGCTGTTCACTTAGCTTCATTATTTCACTTGGCATCGCCTCACCGTCACCTGAGGAAAAAGAGACGAGTGTTATTGCAAAATGATGATGTAAGCAAGAAAAATAGATACCAACTTGGTTTGAAATCACTGCCGAGGAAGTTAATAATGTATTGCTGTTTCTGTTTAAAGATAAAGACCATGCTGTTATGGTCATGCGATTGCATTGTGAAAGAAGCTCTTCTGTTTACTGCTGTGAATCAAGATATGCAGGCACGTGCCCCCTAAAATTTCCAAGATCGGCTGAACTTTTTTAGACTCCTTTTTTTACCTCGATCGATTACATGTATGTGCCCCCTTCCCCCCAGACATCGAACTCTGGCTACGTGCCTGAAGATATGTACCTACAAATGTAATGCTTGTCTTTGGACATCTCTTAAAGCGGGGTGGCATAGCGATTCAATTGTGCATGTTGTGCTTAAAGGGATAGTTGAGTTCAGTTTTCAGACCGCGAATGCCTTCAAAGTGCATGGTTATTGCTCGTATTCTTATCTATGACATTTCTAGTGCCCTATAGAACCTAAAATTGCTATGAAGTTAATTTTAGACCCCAAAATGTGTGAAATTTAGCCAATACGATCTTACCAACTAAGCTCCACTTTAAAAAAACAATACGGTGACCGTTAATCAATTTGTAAATTAAAAATAACAATACATGGGCCGGCTGGTTGTGCGTAATATAACCAACACGAAAATGCGAACAAAAAAGCCAACATCGGCATAGGCTGATATACGACGTAAATTTCCTTTTTTCAACGGCTTTTTCAAATTATCAAATATTTGTGGTGGTACACAAGTATTAGAAATCGTTATATTTATGGATATTTCCGCCGTCTCTGAACCGATTTTGATCAAACAAAGATGATTTTGTCATGTAAATTGTATGTTCTTTCAAATTTGACACTCAGTTTTTCATTTTCTCACAAAAGATTATTTTGTGTAGCACCCTCTGCAACAGAACTCAACTATTCCATTAAAGCGCCATATTTGGCACAGAGGTAGATTAACAGAGCAATGTGCCATTCATTTCTTCACGATGTAAAGAGTCTAGGTTCAGAGACAGTATATTTCAAATTACCATGGACTTCTACGTTTCCTTTTTCTTCCCATTAGAGAGAATTGGTACCGTAAGTATGGAGGAACGTTCTTGGTTGGAAATTGACAATAATGATTTTGAAAACAAAGCATGTTTAATACACGGAAAAGGTACCACGAAGGAGTCATTGTGAAAGATATGCACAGCGAGCCCCAAGGGCCCAATTTGAGATGTCTCAACATTGAGTTTTGCTTCGGAAATGTTTGACTACCTGCGTGCCAAAGTTGGTGCTTTTATCACAAGATGCACAATTAGGCTTAAATTTGACATTATGCCGTGCCACTATCATGTCCATGATCTGCTTTGAAACTTTTGAGTAGTGAAAAAAATGTTGTTTTTATTGTAATTCGGATTCTCTGTTTTGTTCTGTATGAAACGCATCGTTGAACCATTGAATACAAAGAATCTCTTACCGGGTACGGGAGTGCTTAGATATTGGTCTGCCAGGTTATCAAATCCCGCTTCTAATAGTGCCGACCTCAATGCCGCCTTTTCAGTCGAACATGTTTGTCCCTTTCGCCACATCCTGAGCAAATCCAATGTTCCCATATGATTCCCTCCTTGTTTGGCGTTTTCGTCAATCTTGCGATTAATATCTGCGGGCCCAAATCCCAAAGCTTTTCCGAGATCATTGATGTCTGAATTTCTGTATAGGGCCTTGGCTATCTTCGTCAAGATGTCGTCGAAATCTTCATTGGCCACTGAGCTCATTCTGTATGTAGAATGTATAGGTAGGAAAGGAAACTGTGTTGATTAAATGTAATCATGGCATAGTTAAATTGCAAATCAACAAAAGTCGCTGCAGCTGCTTGTGAAACATGTCTCTTCCACCTCTAGTAAGCCCGCCGTTATGAGAGCTGCTCTGAGAGGTGGGAGTTGCTTGATTATCTCTGCCCAGTTCTGAAGCATCATCATGTTACCATTACTTGTCTTTCTACCTCCAGCCCAATTTGTATCTAATGCCCGTTTGATATCAGGAATCTGGACTCCCAGAAGGGCGTCGCAAAGGAGTGGTGTGGGGTGTATAATGGCAATCCCCCCCCCCTCCCCCCCTCCCCCCTCCCCTCTGTCAGGATATTGTCTGTAAAATTGCGCTGCCGTTGGGAAAAAGAAAATGAGGAAAGAAAGAAAAGAAAGAAAAGGAAAAAGAAAAGAAAAAGGAAAACAAAAGAACAGGGGGTTAAAGAGAGGAAAGAGAGGAGGTCCTTTGAGAGAGAAGGTGGGAGTAAGAGAGAGAGAGAGGAGGGGGGGGGGGGAGTAAGAGAGAGAGAGTAGGGGTCGTCTCGTTGAGGGAGCAAGAAAGATACGCATAGTTAAGTCAAAGTGGAATACCTTAAGTACACAACCACCCACAAATGTCCCCCTTCAAAATTTTGAAGAGAATTGGGTACCATAACTGTTCTTTCCTTTGTTTTGTGTGCCTGCTCTTCAGATTTTTTTTGTATCCCCCCCCCCAAGTCCTTAATTCACATTTGACACTCTCCACCCAGGTGCAAATGGGTATCCTAGCAACTGATTGGGTAATACAGATTGCAGGGCCCTCAGGAAGAGAGGCTTCCCTGGGTAAATACCATAACCCTATCCCACATACACATGAAGTACCTTATGCAAAGTATGTTCATGTTCATGCATCAGTTTTTAGTGGTATTGTGTTGAAGGAAAATTTGAATATTGTTTTAAAAATCATGCATGTTCGTAATTAAAGTGAAATCGAAAAAAATAATAAGTAATTGCATGTTTACACACTAAAGCTTTGACAAAATTGAAAGGAGGAAAAAATTATGTAGAGGTGTCGTGGATGAGTGGATACGTAGCTGGACTGCGATCACAAGGTCCGCGGTATGAGCAAGACATTGAATCTAGTGATAGTGGTGGTTATTTTACCTGACAGCTAAGAAAGCAATAACCAGAAGACCGACGGCTTAAGGTCCTAGCTCTCTGAGGGACCTGGTAATGAGGATTAATGCCTTACCAAAGGGCACAAGCGCATCGACTTGGTTTCGAACCAGGGTCACCGGATGACGAGACCAATGCTCTACCGACTGAGCTATCGCGCCTCCGATCTACGTTTACCATTCTCCACCCATGTGTTAAATGGGTACCGGTAGGAAGGAATTCCTTAAAATGCTATGAGCGTCGAAATCGGCAGCCTAGCATAGCCTGGTATTGTTGGAGCGCCTTGAGGACCTTGCAAGGTCGATATGTGGGCTATATAATAACAATCCAATATTGTTATTATTAATATTAATATTTTACCTTTCAAAAATGTTAAAACGTAGGTCCTATATAATTGTTCCTGTTTTTAGTGTACTAATAAAAGGTTTGTTGTATCTTGGAGGGTTGGTGTTTGTCATTTAAATTTTCCCAATTATTTCCCTAACATAATAGCGCACACGCAATGAATGTTATACTAAAAAAGTAGCGGATAAAAAAAAAACTAGATGGAACTTCGACTGCGCGGACTGCGAGCAGTCGAAAATGAGCGATAATTGTACATGTAGGGCCTATATAATTGTTCCTGTTTTTAGTGTACCAATAAAAGGTTTGTTGTATCTTGGAGGGTTGGTGTTTGTCATTTAAATTATTCCCTATTATTTCCCTAAAATACTAGTGCACACGCAATGAATGTTATATTTATACTAAAAAAGTAGCGTGATAAAATAATAAAAAACCACTAATGTACGTTTGATATTTTCCGTTATTATTTTACAACAACATCATAAACATTATTTAAAGTAATGTTTGCTGCATTCAGCACAAGAAAATTAGGTTTACTAATATTTTCATGTTTAAATTTTTAACCAAACTCGCACTTCAACGCAACGCCCGTTTGCTTTGCAACACAACCAAAATGGCGACTTGTACAGTGTCTGCCCACTGCAAGCTCAGTACAAACATTTTATTTGACCGAGTTGCAGTGTTGCAACACATGCAACAATTTCAGATTTGTACAATTCAAATATTGAGAATCTCCTGGAGAAAGATGAGCTTAAAATTATAAGTGTTAAAGTAGGGGAGAGCATAAGTGCGCTGAGTATTGACATCGGCTCAACGTTACAGGATTCCTGTGGCCATGGCAGAGTGGATGATGATGTGGTGCTGGTACTACCCGTAGAGGCTCCCAGGCAAAATGCGCTGACCATTCTCATGACCCAAGCACAAGGTTTCGCATTGCCGCAGAAAAAAAAAAAAAATCAGCCCGCCCGCCCCTACTCCAGAAAAGCAATCGAGGACAACCAAAAAAAAAAATTTGAGGGGGGGGGGGGGGGGCGGGGCGGGGGGCCTTAATAAACATGTATCACAGTGCACAGTGAAATGCTAAAGTGCAAGTAAACATATCTGTACCTTTTACTTGTTGTGACATCACTCGGGGGTTCAGTCATCTCTTCTGTTCGCGGCCTCTCTGCCATCGTGAATGGTATTCAGGCTGAGGAGAAATGTAAACATGAAAAATAATCACAAACATGGGGTACACAATAGTCACAACAAATTTCAATTTTCAGAGATTTTAAAGCCTGTCTGTACTAAATTGGCTAGGAGGGATTAGATCACCCAGCGTGGTCACTGACAGGTGGCTATCTCATCAACTCAGCTCTCAATTAACATACAATACCGCCCAGAAGTTATTGGGCATGTTTTCCCCGATGGGTATTTCACGATAAAATATCGATAAAAATCACTATGAAATACCGAACAAATCACTATAAACACGATAAAATACACGCTAGTGGATGGCTTCCTCTATCGGGGGATGCGTGTAACCCGCCTAATCCCCCGATAGTAAGCAAATATTAATCAACTACGAGGGTAATGGTGCAAACTATCATCGCCGAGGTGATCTCGGGGCTACTATCTTCCAGAGCCGCAACATCTCTTTGTAAATATCGATGTGGTAATAGTAAGCTGCCCCGCCGTCTGCACCTGACCGTCACTGAAGTCAGCCTCTAGAAATTGTAGAATTGTGTTCCTTATGTGATCTCAAAGTACATGATGATGAATTTCATTATGTTCTCGTATGTCCAGCCTTTGATTAACATTCGCAATTATTCATTAAGAGATAGTTAGTCAATTAAAGATTAAGAATTTAAAAAAAAAACCTTTCAACCTTTTAGATTCATTCATGGTTTGCTGCTTCGCAATAGAATATGATATAGATTTTATTATTAAAAGCAGACCCGTATTACTATCATTCGCGAATTTGTGTTTTATTTTTGTGGACAGTTTTACAATAATAGCTCCTGTTCTAGTCCCTCCAACGTTTATTCGCACTAATAATATTTACAATTAATTTGCCTGATGTTGCTTTCAATTCATTTATGGTTTGCTGCTTCGCAATCGGATATAAAATCAATGATAATTTTAAAAGCAAACTCGTATCATTGGCGACGCAGGGGGAGGGGGGGGGGAAGAAAAGGATGGAGGGGAAAAAGAAGAAGAGTAAATCTAAAAATAAAATAAAATAGACAGACGAAACAAGCAGAGAACTTCATCAATCGGAAATTCTAATTTTTTCGCCAATGAATTGAATGAGAGGCGTACATTTCATAATGTGTTTCACGTGTTTCTAAACAAAGGGCAAACGAAGGAGAAGAAAAAGAAGAAGGGTGAGATGAAGAAGCAGAGGAGGGGGAGAAGAAAAAGAAGAAGGGGGAGATGAAGAAGCAGAGGGGGGAGAGAAGAAAAGGAAGGAGAAGAAAAAGAAGAAGGGGAAAAGAAAAGGAAGGAGAAGAAAAAGAAGAGGAGGATGAAGAAGCAGAGGGGGAGGGAGAAGAAAAGGAAGGAGAAGAAAAAAGAAAAGGGGAGAACAAAAAGGAAAAGAAAAAGAAGAAAATCTAAGGAAGGAGAAGAAAATAAAATAGACACACGAAACAAGTAGAGAACTTCATCAATCGGAAATTCTAATTTTTTCGCCAATGAATTGAATGTTTAAATGACAAGAGAAATGGCGTACCTTTCATAATGTGTTTCAAGTGTTTCTAAACAAAGGGCAAACGAAGGAGAAGAAAAAGAAGAAGGGGGAGAAGAAAAAGAAGAAGGGGGAGGAGATGAAGAAGCAGAGGATGGGGGGGGGAGAAGAAAAGGAAGTAGAAGAAGAATTAGGGAAGAAGAAAAGGAAGAAGATGAAGAAGCAGAGGGGGGGGGGGGGGGAGTAGAAAAGGAAGGAGTAGAAAAAGAAGAAGAAAATAAAATAGACACACGAAACAAGCAGAGAACTTCATCAATTGGAAATTCCATTTTTCGCCAATGAATTGAATGTTTAAATGACAAGAGAGCTTGCGTACATTTCATATTATGTTTCAAGTGTTTCTAAACAATGGGTTTAAAGTCAAGGTGTCTGGCAACATGTGGTTATCTCAGATGTTCGCGCCGTAAGATCATGTGATCATAGTAGTGATGACTGAACCTTCGAGAGAAAACTAAGCGCGTGCATTTTTTAAAATCTTTACCTCATCATCTTTTCTGTTTTTTATTTCTTTGTTTTACATTTTCTCGAAATATAAATATGTGTATGTATTCCCTTCGCTTGTTCCTTACGGTTCAAGGAGAATTACCCCCTTGCACAATCACCCCCTTCGTTTAATTCCTTGTTTTTCTTGCTATCAATTCGATCAATCATTGTTTTGTTGTTTATCCTTATTTCCTACCATATGTAGATCTTTGTTAAGCCATTATTATTTGTTATTATTATTATCATTATTCATCATTCTTCTGGTTTCTTCCTTCGTTAATGTGTTTTAATACTTTGTTTTTCTTAGATTTCTTTCTATCATTTTATATTTTGTCCTCAATCCTCGTGTATTTCGTTGTTATTTCCTTATGTATTACTCCAATTTTGATTACGGGAGCTTGCCAACCCAGGTATGTGTACATGTATTTAGCTTGCATGCAAACTGAATGTCATAAAATGGAGATCGAGATCGAGGGGTTTTCCAAAATAACAGTGACCTGAATTCCGGGAATCCCTGAGCGCGCGCACTACATATCAAATTTCAACTACTTTGTGGACCACGAGGTACATTGGCTGATCGAGATCGCGTCGCTTTTGTTTTTGATAATACTGGTTTATGAAAATGCTGTTTGCGATCTGTGGCAAAATTTGTAATGTGTAGGGCCAGGGTCAACCGATTGGTATTATGAATGAATAAAATAAAAATAAATTATTTTTTATTTGGAGTTACGGATCCTTTATTTATTCTGTTAATTTTCAATTCTCTATCTCTCTTAATTATATTTGTCTGATATATTTCACTCTTCACTCCCTTCCCTCTTTCTTTTCTCTCCCTGTCACACTAACGGTACCCCTCCACCTCTTCTCTCCTCTTCCCTTAATTCTTCATGCCTTCCTGAAAATCTCACAACATACACATAATTTTTCTAGAAATAACAGCCGCATTTATCCATAAATTCTAAGATTCTACCCACATATTAGATCTGATATGTACATGTAATGATGAATACTCTCTATTAGACAGAAATAACCGTCTGATATGGGTCATTACTCTTTGATAAATCTTACATTTGTCAACATTCCTCATACACAGACGGTGATCCTTACGGGGGGGGGGGGGGGGGGGGTGAGCCTTTCTTTTCTTCCCGTTTTTCCTTATTTAGATCTAATTTTCCGATCAATAAATCGGACATAAGAAAGTATGTATATTTCTTAAAATTCTTAAAATTTTAATCAAGTAATTGCAATGGCGAAATTTAGGCGAATTAGATCACGCGTTTATGAATATCAAAATATCACTGGGTCAAGCCCTGCTGACTCGTACGTACATGTAGGTATCGGACGTCCGGAAAAAAAAAATGAGCATTCATTAACTCAAATCAAGATGGCTGCACAACAAATAATGTTAACGACAAGTCTTTCTCGGATTAAACATAAGCGGAATAGCCGTCGATATTAGAGACTGAAGCTTTCGGTCTAACTCTTGATATACTCTCGGATCTCCTCTGCCATGAGCTATCCCAAACATTCCCCCCCCCCCCCCCCCTCAAATAAAAAAAGATGTCGTATCGTGGGGAAGGCCCAGACACCTGGTTCTTGGTTTCTGCACTTCTCTCATCGGATAACTTTTCTCTCCGCATGCGCAATCCCAAACATTCCCCGTAGCACATTCTCTCGTGTATTTATGCATGGAATGAAAAGAGCATTCATTCACGCTTTTGTGATGTAATAATCAAGTGATTGTGACGTCAGTGGCAAGCGCGCATGGGTATGTTTGAGGATGCGCAGGCCATTCAGAAGCAGGCGTATCGCGCAACGGCAGCAAGCGTATACAGCATGCTGTGCGCAGTTCTATCGTGATAATAACTAACTAAAAGGAAATATCACGATATGCATCGGGGATTTAGCGAGTTGATCAAGTTGAGGAAAAAAATCATGATAGAGATGAATACAAATCACGATGTTTCTCACGATAAAAACACGATAAAACCCGCCTACAATCACGCTAACCTCCTATCGTGTTTCACGATCCCGCATGCCCAATAACTTCTGGGCGGTATTGTAACTCTTGATATACTCTCGGATCTCCTCTGCCATGAGCTATCCCAAAGTTTCCTCCTCCCCCCCCCCCCTCAAATAAAAAAAGATTTTGTATCGTGGGGAAGGCCAAGACACCTGGTTCTTGGTTTCTGCACTTCTCTCATCTGATAACTTTTCTCTCCGCATGCGCAATCCCAAACATTCCCCGTAGCACACCGTCTCGTGTGTTTATGCAATGAAAAGAGCATTCATTCACGCTTTTGTGATGTAACAATTAAGTGATTGTGACGTCAGTGGCAAGCGCGCATCGGTATATTTGAGGATGCGCAGGCCATTCAAGGAAGCTGGCGTATCGCGCAACGGCAGTTTCTCAGCAAGCGTATAAATACAGCATGCTGTGCGCAGTTCTATCGTGCTAATAACACAAACTAAAAGGAAATATCACGATATTCATCGGGATTTAGCGAGTTGATCAAGTTGAGAAAAAAAATCACAATAGAGATGAATACAAATCACGATGCTTTTCACGATAAAAACATGATGCAAATCACGCAAACCTCCTATCGTGTATCACGATCCCGCATGCAGGGAGCAAGTAGCTACAAGTAGTGCAGTGGGCCTTTAATTGTTAACTCACATGCGCTGGTCACTGTACGTGACAAACAGACAAGGTATTTTGAAATACAAATTGCTTCACCAACAAAAAAATGTACATGTATTTGGTGATCAATTTATATTACTGCTTAGCGCATGATCGAGACAAGTATGCTACACTGTACAGTAGATATATTTTTTGAGAAAGTTGCAAATTGTGAACAAAATCTTGAACAATGGTAAACGAATGAGGACAGATTCTTGTTTGGGAAATGAAAGGTCACTGGTTCCAATCACTCCTAACATTCTGAACACTCACAAACAAAGGCCAGAAACTATATATA